TTTATCCCTACTTTTAGAACCCCTCCCTACTTTCCTCTAGCTAACTCTTTGTCAGGCTCCAGACAAGGTGTTAAAATCTTCCCTGGACTGGCATGGTGACTCATGCCTGTAATCCCAGCACTTTGGGAGGTGGAGGTGAGAGGACTGTTTGAGCCCAAGGGTTTGAGACCAGCCTGGGCAACTTGGCAAGACCCCATCTCTACAATACAACAACAACAACAACAAAATAGCCAGGCATGGCGGTGTATGCCTGTAGTCCTAGCTACTTGGAAGGTGGAAGAGTCACCTCCACCCAGCAAGTCGAGGCTGTGGTGGCCATGAGCGTGTCACTGCACTCCAGCCTGGGCAACAGAGTGAACCTTCGACTCAAAAAAAAAAAAATCTTCCCTGACCTCAGGTTAGGGGTACATCCCCCTGTTTTATGACCCCACTGCCCCTGGCACTTACTTTTCTCACAAGCACCTTGTACCTATAATCATCCATTGGCCCCTCCAGATCTGTTCTCTACTCTTCATTCTGCTCTTGACTTCAGCTACATCATATTCCCTTAGTTCTCTGGGTTTCGATTGACTTTGGTCTCTAGGGAGCCCTTGCAGAGTATCTAGAAGGAAAGAGAGGACCTGATCTGTCTTCCTCCAGCCCCTGACTAGAAGGCTGACTCAGGCCAGTGGTGTGTCCAGAAGGAAGGTCCCTGCTTTCTTCACCACACTCTGTGGGTTCTAGTATCTGCTTCCTCCCCTTGTCCCCTTGTTCCTGTAGACATATTTTGATTGGTCTAATCTAGGTTTTAAAATTTGAATTAGTTGCTGACACTTAACATATCAGAAGATTTTGCATAACATTTCAGATGTCTGGCTTCTCTTGAAAAAAAAAATCAAAAGATTTGAAAATGCCAAGCCAACATTCCAAACAGTAACCATTGTGTGGAGGTAAGTGGCAGCTGCCTCTTCACCTCAGGACTCTACCGCCCCCACTGACTCCCTGCTGTTCACAATAACCCTGCTGTTACCACTCTGGCCTCCAGAAACATTTGAGTTTGTGAGTCCTGGTTTAAAGAATGTGCTGCCCACTAGGTGGGACCTGTGTCCCACTCCTCATCAGATTTGGAGAAAAGGGAGGCTGACTCTTCAATCTGTCTACTTCTCTCTCTCCCCCTGCCACCACCAAGAGAGTGCTCTCTCTAACACTCCTAGGCCACCATCAGCTCTGGAATGGCTGCTCTTCTCTGCACTCCCCACACAGCTGCCACAGTGCCCACCTCAGATGGGACTCAGGTTATAACTCTCTCCCTTAAAACCTTGCTATGTTTTCCCATTATGCTAAAGACAAAGGCTGCATTTCCTAAAACAACCATCCAGGCCCTGGCTTCTCTGATCCCTCTCTACCACTCCAGGCTGATTTGGAACCACTCCTCTTCATTCCAAATGTCCAGCAGAGTGAGCTCCTCTCGGGACCTCAAGCACACACCTTATGTCTCAGCTGGGTCCAGCATATGCCAAATCTGCCAGCCAAGTATCAGGCCTTGCTCCTGGTCACGACTAAAGTGTCCCTACCCAGAAAGTCCTTTCCATTCTCTATCTGTATCCCTTTCTAATAGGCACCACACCTGTAGAAGGGGCTTTTCTCAAAGTCTTTCTCTTTCACTGGACTATAAGAACAGTGTGCATTTTCATTGCCTGGTGCCTAGTAGGTGGCTCAATGAACATTTGTTGAAAGAGTAGATTTAGAGACCTTGATCTTCATGGGACAGTGTTTTCTACCACTCAGTGACAATGCAGACCACCATGGCTTTTAAAGTGTTTAATATGATTATATATTTATGTTACAAGACCTGGCTATAATGTGATTTCACACAAAGTGAGGCCATGGAGGCACCCAAGGTACAGGGTTGAAAGAAGCATTCACCCTCACAACACCTCTCTTGCCTCACTCTAGACCTGGCCCTGGGAGGGAAGCCTTTGCTAAGAACCATGAAAGGAAAAGAAAGTTAGGATCAAGAAAGTTTGGAATGGCAAGTTTGGAATGGCAGCCTGCCACCCACCACCATCAATTCTCTCTCACCATGTGAGGAATGATGTGCAGTGATCTCAGCGGGGAGAGGGTGGTAGGGTGTGATGATGCCTTAACAGACATCTGAAAGTGGACTGGATACCAAAAAAATGTGGTACATATACACAATGGAATATTATGCAGCCATAAAGAAGGACAAAATTACGAACTTCACAGCAACTTGGATGGATTTAGAGTCTGTAATAATCATATCTATCACAGAAACAAAGAACTGAGTACCACATGTTCTCACTCATAAGTGGACCCTGAACAATTATCATAATACTATAAGAAAGGCATTGGCAGTCATGAGAAGCAGCCAGGGGAGGGAGTGGGGAAGACACAACATCAGTAAGGGATTTCAAACCAGGTGAAATGGGGACCAAAGTGAGGCCCCAACTTTACCCGACAGTGACCATTTATATACGTAATCCTGAATTGTACCCCACATCTTTAAAATTAAGATAATGATAATAACAATAATAATAAAACACAGATGTCTAGGTCAGTGATAGAGAGCATGAGGAGAAACAGTGGGCTTCTCTATAGGCAATGCATGAAAATGAAGGGTGGAATTCATTATTCGAGCCCCTAAAATGACAGCTCCCCCAACAGGCTAGCAAAACCAGAGGTTTCTGTTTCAGGTAAAAAGTCAAAGGAAATCCTAATCCTAAAATTGAAAAGTAGACAAGGCACGACCAGGGAAGAAGAATGCCCCAAGGATTGCCTTTGGAGGTCCATTTGCTGGGGCTGATAGCCAGCCAAGATTACTTCAAGCCCCAGTCCTCGCTGCTGAGTATCGCCTCCCCTGAAGGAAGTGCTGGGTGCACCAGACACCAGTGAACACTGCCTGCTTCCATTCCAGAAGCCCTAATGAACCTACTTTAGTTTACTGATAACACTCCTAGTTTAAACAAGTAGCATCATTTCCATGCCAATAACCACTGTGCCAAAGTTCTTCAAAGCCATTGTTTTTTAAGTAGGTCAAATAGGTACTCTGTGATCCTATTCTGTTTACTTACCTGGTAATTTCTTTCTTATCTAATAGAAAGTCTGGCCCAGTTTAAACCAAAAAAAGAATGATATTTTACTTTGGTGTCAAGAGTCACTCATTTTCTAACATTGATTATTTTATTACATAATTAATCTGTATTCATTGTGGAAAAAATAGAAAATATATATAAACAAAACAACATTTAAAGAAAAACCATCTATGACTCCCCACCCCCCATCTATTCTAAACATTTAGGTGAATATTCTGCCAGACTTTTTGCTATGCAAATGTATGTTTGTATTTTTCCTTACTTGCATATTGAACATCTTTTCATATCAGTAAATAAAGATCAGTCATGCACAGTGGCTCACACCTGTAATCCCAGCACTTTGAGAGGCCAAGGCAGAAGCATTGCTTGAGTTCAGGAGTTTGAGACCAGCCTACATAACATAGCAAGACCTCATCTCCATTAAAAAAAAAAAACAAAAACAACTGGGCATGGTGTCGCATGCCTGTAGTCCCAGCTATTCAGAAGGCTGAGGCAGAAAGATCACCTGAACCCAGGGGGTTGAGGCTGCAGTATGCCATGATCATACCACTGCATGCCAGCCTGGGTGACACAGTGAGACCCAAACTCAAAAATAAATAAATAATTATCAACGTCATTATTTTTGAGAACTGCATTTGATTGTGTGTCATTATTTTTTTTCATTTTTTATCTTTTTTGAGTTGGAGTCTCACTCTGTCGCCCAGACTGGAGTGCAGTGGCCGCAACCTGCTGGGCTTCAGTGATCCTTCCGCCTCAGCCTTCCAAGTAGCCGGAACTACAGGCATGTGCTACCACACCCGGCTAATTTTTGATTTATTGTAGAGATGAGGTCTTGCCAAGTTGCCCAGGTGGGTCTCGAGCCCGCAGGCTCAGGCAATCCACTCACCTCAGCCTCCCAAAGCGCGGGATTACAGGCTGAGCCACCTAGCCCGGCTTGATTGTGTGTCATTATAAGATTAGATTACCACACTTTATTTTAACCATCTGGATAAACTAATCCCAATATCACTCTTCTTACACATACATCATTGTACTTATGTTAGATTCTCTAAGATTAATCGTTGAAAGTGAAAAGGTTGAGTCAAGGGGTGTGATCACTTTTAATACACAATGTAGAACCATTGTACTAGTTAATCCACCAGCAGCACGTTGCAATGCGGATTTCCTTATACCCTCACCAGCACTCTGTCGACACTGAGTACTCATGTGTCATGTACAAGTCAAATAAAACAGTCCATGCTGGGAAGTGGGAAAAAGGGACGGACAGACTAGAGAATTGACATTTATAAGCAGTGTGCTGAGATTACAGTACTTTGGAGCTCTGAATGTGCAAATGTGGACATCAGGATCATCCTAGGACGGGTATCACAGAAGGTCTCCTTGAAAGGGTTAGTTCTGAGGCTAGACTTGAAGGATCATCAGATGTTAACGGTGTAAAGAACAGGGAAGGAGTGATGGGGAGAATGATCCGTGCAGAGGAAAGGTCCCAGGCATAAATGTTCAGTATCTTTTCAGGAAACAATAAAATGTCCTGTAATGGTTGGACGAAAGGGTGCAGGGGAGCTGGGAATGAACAGGAAGGACAGACGATGAGGCTGAAGGGATGGGCCAGGGCTGGTCCAGAAGTTCTCTCTGGGTTAAGCAAAGGAGTTCTAACTATCTGGAAAATCCCCATAGGGGCCAGGATTTGGCATCATAACCTGTGTGTGGAAGACTCTGATCCAGGGGAAGAGCACTGAGAATGAACTCAGGGGTTGCTTTATCAATACCCCCCAATGAGCTCTGTGAGCCTGGGAACAACCTCTATGTCTCCTAAGGTAAAGGGGACGATCCAGGTGCCTTCCGATTCTAAATATCTATACTCCTATGAACTCGGGCACATCCTTTGACCTTTTTTTTTTTTTCCAGAAAAGGTGGCCATTAAGATCCTGGACAAGACCAAGTTAGACCAGAAAACCCAGAGGCTATTATCCCGTGAAATCTCCAGCATGGAAAAACTGCACCATCCCAACATCATCCGCCTTTACGAAGTCGTGGAGACCCTATCCAAGCTCCACTTGGTGATGGAGTATGCAGGGGGTGGGGAGCTCTTTGGGAAAATTAGCACCGAAGGGAAGCTCTCCGAACCAGAAACCAAGCTCATCTTCTCCCAGATTGTGTCTGCAGTGAAGCACATGGTGAGCAGGGGCCAGGACTGAGAGTCTTGCTCCTAATCCACCTGCATTGGGAGCATGGGGCTTTAGTTTACCATCACTCGAGCATCCCGAGGGCTTTAGTCCTACATGGCAGTCAGTAGTCCCTTCTGAGAGGGTCAGAAGTCTAGTCATGCCTCTTGCCTCTGAAGCAACATCCAAGGATTTTCAGGTACATGGCAACCTCCTGGCTTCTGTGGAAGTTGACAGGCGTCACTGGAAGCAGCTAATGAACATCACCTGCTCCCTGGCCCTACCCATTTCTTCAACTTCAACTTCCACTACCCATGTAGCTGGCTCCTCGCTGCTTCTCAGCCTTGCTTTCCCAACTCTGTCTAGGATGCCCTCTCACCTCATATCACATCTCACGTTCTAAATCCTCTTCACACTAAATGACCAGCTCAGTATGTCTCCCTCTGTGAAACTTTTTTCAGTCGCACGTCAGTTCACATGGATCTCTCTGGCCTTCCACGAGCTCCCCCAGCTCTTACCGCCTCTGTGCCCAGCAGATGAATACTCAATTATGGCATTCTTATTTTAGTTATCTGATTATTTCTTTAGATAAATCTGGACTCCTAAGGCACACTCCCTAGTTCCTCCAAGGACTGGCTCTTTTGCTCCCTCTCTATTGCTAGCCATATTGCTGGGCACACAGGAGGACCTTGACTTGTAGACCTGACTACCATCTTTACTACCAAAATTTTTGGCCACCCATCTAACCAGATCTCATTTGCGTGGTTCTGTCCAACTGGCAGAAGACAGACACTTGTCTGACATCTATGTTAGTTGAGAGGCTGCTTCTAATTTACTCCTCTGCCAGGATGGTTGTGGGAGCAAAAACTAAGATCGGTGAACTCATGGTCAAAGAATTTGTAGGGGAATTAGTGACCTAGAGGGTCCCAAATAGCAGTTGGGAGGGAGGGGAGGAGGAAAAGAAGTGAACCAAAGAGAAGAACTTGATTGTAGTGATGGTGGGTGTTTCAGATCTGTGGTACATCATCAGTCATCGTTTAGGTGGCCCTGGGCTATGATGATCTTTCCCAGGACTACAGAATAAGCCAGACCTATACTGAATGATAGAACATATGGGTGAAGTATCTTCCACATTCTATTCTACTTGGAAGAGTAATCTAGCGGAGAGTGAAAGGGAATCCAGAAGTAGGGGATGCAGACATTAGTCCTTGGAAGCTCTACGCCCTGCCCTTTCTCCCAGTTCTCTGGTCTCTGCAAAGAAGAAGTATGAATCGTAATCATAGATCCACATTTTATTGAGTTCATGTGTCAAGACCATGCTGAGCACTGTTGACACAGCATCATACATAGTTATCACTATAGCCTATGAGGTAGTTATCAGTATCCCCATTTTACAAAGAAGGAAACTGACACATTACACACAGCTGCTATAGTTGACTCCAGAACTGACCAAGGCTGTCAACTCCAAAGCCTAGATTCTTACCCCAGGAGGCCCATCAGGAAATAGAACGTTAAGTCACTCTCTAAGAGTCCTTGGGACTGAACAGATTAAAGGTCCTCAGGAGACTGTCTGTCTGGATTCAGAATGCAACGGTTGGAGTGGAGTGTTCACAACCCACAGTGAGACCTGTTGCTAGATCTTTGCAAAATGCAGTCACCTCCCTTCTACTGAATTCTGTAAAGATAGTGGAGTTCACCCAAGGGAGTATGGATAGAAAGTTGGGGAGGCTCCAAACCTGCTGGTCTTGGCCCCCATCAAGAGAACCCTCAGTCAGAAAAATCCATGTAAGACCTCAATGACTAAGGATTACTCATTGTGTTTCAGAATGTGTCATTTCATAACATCTGGGTTTTATTTCTGGCACTAATTCCTGAGTCTATCTGTCAGAACAGACTCCAACCCTCCCCATAGAAAATAGAACCTTTGGTCTGTTTAGGAGGTATGGGTAACATTGGGCTAAAGGTAGTGACAGGGCTTGCTACATGATTAAAGTTGATCCCCACCAAATTTCTGTCATTACACCATCATCACCTCACTATTTCAGATCAACTGATACATTTTTTATTTTGGCATTTTACTTTGAAAGTGACTTTTCTCTGTCTTCTTCCACAGCATGAAAACCAAATTATTCACAGGGATTTGAAAGCAGAAAACGTATTCTATACCAGTAATACTTGTGTGAAGGTGGGCGATTTTGGATTCAGCACAGTAAGTAAAAAAGGTGAAATGCTGAACACTTTCTGTGGGTCTCCTCCTTACGCTGCTCCTGAACTCTTCCGAGACGAGCACTACGTTGGCATTTATGTGGATATCTGGGCCTTGGGGGTGCTTTTGTATTTCATGGTGACTGGTACCATGCCATTTCGAGCAGAGACTGTGGCTAAACTAAAAAAGAGCATCCTCGAGGGCACATACAGCGTGCCTTCACACGTGTCGGAGCCCTGCCACCGACTTATTCGAGGAGTCCTCCAGCCAACCCCCTCAGAGAGGTATGGGATCGAACACATCATGAACGATGAGTGGATGAAAGGAGTGCCATATCCCACCCCTTTGGAACCTTTCCAACTGGATCCCAAACATTTGTCAGAAACCAGCACCCTCAAAGAAGAAGAAAATGAAGTCAAAAGCACTTTAGAACATTTGGGTATCACAGAAGAGCATATTCGAAATAACCAAGGGAGAGATGCTCGCAGCTCAATCACAGGGGTCTATAGGATTATCTTACATCGAGTCCAGAGGAAAAAGGCCTTGGAAAGTGTCCCACTAATGATGTTACCAAACCCTAAAGAAAGAGACCTCAAGAAAGGGTCCCGTGTCTACAGAGGCATAAGACACACATCCAAATTTTGCTCAATTTTATAAATTACATTAGACTGCTGGTAATTAACCAAGAATATTGTTGCTGCTTTTAAATTTTTTCATGGACAATTTGTGTGGAGACATTTTGTAATTTTTAAATAAATTTGAATTTGAGATATGTATTCTTTTCCCCCAAAATCTATTAGCTCAGGTTCTGGCTTCATTTGGGACTTTGTCTCATTCTCAATCTCTAGCACTTATTCATTTAGTCACTAAATATTTATTCAGTGCCTCCTACACTGAACACCAGACACTGTTTAAGGTGCTGAGGAAATAGCATAGAATAAGATACACCAGGTCCCTCCTCTTGTGTGCAGGACATTCTAGTACAGGACAAAGGTACTAACAACTATATATTTGTTTAAAATTCTTAATAGATACTATGCAGATAATTTTTTAAAAGATGATCTGATATTAGAGACTTACTACTTTGGATTGGTCATTAAGGAAGGCCACTTTGGGTAGATGTCAGTCTGAGATCTGATTGAGAAGCAGGGGTGACTCTTACAAAATGCCAAGGGTAACTAGGAGTTTTAGACTAGACTCCCGCCAAATAAAACCTAGGAAAAAGGCTTCCATGTAAAGTAATTTATGTGGGAAGTGATCCCAGAGTACAGGACTGAGAAACGGGAAACAGAGAAAGCCAATATACAAGATACATGAGCAAATTGGCCAGTATTACAGATGACCGGTGTGCAGATTTGCAGAATCCTCTCAGAAGCCTTAAACACATCTCAGACATCTGCCCAGGGTGTGAAAGGGGAAAGCATTTATGGATAAGTTTCTGCCACCACTGGTCAAAGGTGGCCCATGGTGTCATCTGCTCTGCATTTCAAGATTGTGCAGTGTGAGTACCAAGTGGGAATGTGCTTTCCAGGCCTACATGTAAGAGAAGCCTTGGAGCAGGAAGGAAGAGGTACACAGCACTAACCCAAGTCCAAGTACGGTCAAATAGGGCTTGCATTAAACTGTCCAAACTTGCAGGAAATAGTCACTGCATCAGTGGCTGGAGGGAGCAGTGTGGCTGAAAGGATCTGAAAGATCTGGAGTGGTGCACAGAAATTGTCCGACACAGCCCAGTGCTCTTCTCGGACCCGCCCCCTGTTAAGTCCACTCCTTCAAGGACGCAGGAACTGGAAGGACTTAACACAATAGTAGAACAAGCTACAGCAGTGGTTCTCAAGCTGTAGTGCCTCAGAATCATGGGGAAGGCTTGTTAAAATACAGACTGTGAGTCCTGACCCCCAGAGATTTTGATTTCATACATCTGGGGTGGAGCCCAAGCACATGCATTTCTAAAAAGTTCCTAGGTGATGCCAAAGCTACTAGTCAGGGCCACACTTTGAGACCCACTGAGCTAGAGTCAATTACTGCAGCTAGTCCTGAGGCTCATACCTCCCTCCTCCATCACCTGTTCTAAATCTCCCTCACTTTGGCCAATATTCCAGCTGGTCTAGATTGGATAATATGGCCCAGACCTTCCTCATCGAAGAATCTGAGCCACTTAGTGGCCTTGCCCTTGTTAGGCTGTGTTTGTTGTGATTGCCTACTCACCATTATCATGAACCCCAAAAGTGACACAGCAAAGAACCTGCTGGGTTCCAGACGTATTCCTCTTTAGCTCCTTATGATAATCAGAGTCAATAAGCCTCACCAGTATAATTTCTCCTTTCTCTGACTGCTTGCCCAACAGGCATGAAGAGCCTAAAGTGACCATGTAACATTTGTAGATTCCAATTCACTAGAATTCTTATTGGGTACCCTGGTGAAGGCATTCATTGCCCCCCAGGAACCCAAACCTGTAATACCACCAGGACCAGGTTGCAGGAAAGAAGAGTGCAAATTCATCAAGTGGGTCACTGACTGTGATGGTGAGAGGATGCACTCCTACTTCCATCTATTGGTTCCCATACCTGTGTATTTTAATGATGGGGGACATATGCTAGCCATTGTTAAAGCTGAATGTATACCAAATCTTGGGGGGGGCAACACCCCAACCTTGCCAGGGTTACTGTCTCATATCTGATGCTTAGCTGAGCCATTCCATTGTTCTGCTTATGCTGGCTGCTTCTGGTGTTGAGGTATATGATTAAAATGAAGGGATCCTGTGGTCCTGTGCCCATCGCCTCACCTCCTTTATCAAAAAGGGGTCCTTTGAGGCAATATTGTATGAGATATGGCAATGAATTAGGTACTCTCTGTGTCTTAACATGATTGTATTGCAGGAAGGAAAGGCAAATCCATTTCCTGGAATGTTGATTCCAATAAGGACGATTCACTGCTGTGCCTATCTAAATTTATGACTCCATGGATCTGATAATCCCCAGCTTATACACAGACAGCTCTGTTTGCTTAGTCCATTAGTGTCCCATAATCAGGTACTCAGTCTCTACTGGGACCCAGCAGCACACCAGGAGCCTGAGTGTTTCTCTGTTACAGGAAGCATGGTCACACTACAGGACTCTCCAGGGCTATGTTGTAACCCACTGGGGCTCATCAGAGGCTCCACATAGTATTCTTAACTGCCACATACGCTGTCAGAAATGCTCAGCTAGCTCAGAAGCTTGAAATTCCTGTAATTTTTCTTTTGTGGGATCCACTTGAAACTGGCAGTCCTGATAAATGGGTTGAAGTATAATATATGTACTTCCAAAGTCTGGAGGAATTTATTAAATTTTATGCTTCTATCTATCTTAGTGCTGGGGGTGGAAAGTGTAAGACATTGTTCTTTACTATAGAAGGAATATGTAGGCATGCCCCAGTTCATTAGTCTTCTAAGCATTTCATCAGTGTGGCATGCCCCATATTCTTCACGGAGCTTATCATTCAAACTCTGGCATACATAAGTCTTACTAGGGCATTCAGAGTAGTACTTGTTACTTCCTGATAGCCAAATCCACCTAGCATGTTGTCACAATATACTGGACCAGCAGGATGGTCTATATAATGTCAAAATGATCACAGTTCTTTTAGACTATACTGTGACATACAGTAGGACATCTAACATTGCTTTGGGACAATAGAGTAAGTGGGAATTGCTGTCCATCCCAAAGGAACGTGAACTGCTTTTGATACTCCTTTCTGATGGAACTTGAGAATGCATTAGCCAAATCAATAGCTGCGTGTCAAATGCCAAAGACTTTCAGTAAAGATATCACATCCAACGTGGCAGCTGCAACTGAGATTTGCAATAGTCTATCATTATCCTCCATTATTCAATTGCTTTTTTTCAGGAGTCTGGTGGTAAATTAAATGAGAGTGTCATAGAGCCCATTACCCTTCATTGCTAAAAAATTTTTGATGGTGATACCAATGGTTGCCTTTTCTCATGTAATTGCTCATGACTTATTAATATGTCTGGAGAAATGTTGCCATGTGGCTCATTCTTTCATATAGTTCTTACTCCACAAGTCAAGGGTCTATATTTGTCCCAAATATATGCTTGGGGATTGGAGGAATCCCAAGGTGGGACCCATTATGAGATACACTTTGGGCAGAACTCCTTTCATCACCTGGTTTTTGTAAGCCCTCATCTACACATAAAGCCACAGTGGCACTCAAGAGTCCTAAAAATTTCTGGCTATGTATGTACATCTTATATACTTGGAAAAGCAAAGCCTTTCCTCAACAGCATTGCTTCTCTTCATTGTGCATTAGATCTGTAAATTGATTTAGATCTGGAAGCTGATTAAGGGATCATTGTTTTCCCATTGTGACAGCCTGCCTTAGCCTTCTGCTCACCAGTTTTTTCTTTCCTTCCTGTCTCTCAGAACTTCATGATCTATTAGCCATTGTCACAAAATCTTGCAGATCAAGGCAACCTGATTTTCACTCCAGCCTTACTAGCCATTATATTATATTCACTTTACCTCTGACATTTAAGAAAAAAATATGACCTCTGCCATTGTATAATCCCATTATCCCTACTGCTGATAGCATGCTCTACTCCCTGGCAGCATTTCCTACCATCAATCACTGCCTGCAGTGGGCAGCCACCAGGAAGCTTTTCATAGGTGCTGATGCACCCCATTTTAATGTTTTTGTTTGTTTTTTGGTTTTTGGGTGTTTTTTTTGCTGTTGTTTAAATTCCACGTATATTCTGGATATCAGTCCCTTGTCAGATGAACAGTTTGTAAGCCAGTGCATTCTGCATTGCCCTAGAAAAGGCAATGTTCTCCTGGGGAACATAGGTGGTTGTTCAGTCTCCAATCCTTTCCTCAATAATATGCCAATGCAGTTGTACCATCTTCCTCTCATTTACTATATACATGACCATGCCCAAGCCTCAGCAGCCATTCCAGCAGCATATTGGGACCAACTTCAGGTGTTCACCACTCCAAATCATGAATAAGTGTTCCCATAATACACTCTGCCTTATCCTACCTTATATTCTCCCCTCAACCTCCACCTCTGGTCTAACACCCTCAAAATCTGCTCACACACATTTCCCCCTCATTCTAACAGCATGTATTCCAGGCTCTGGAATTTCTTCAGTGTCTAAACTGTTTCCTCCCAGAAAGGAAAAATATCAAGACTTAATGTGTTCCAACCTTACAATTAGATCCTGGGCCTATCTTAGGTAGGTTTCTCTCCACTGCAAAAGATAAGGCTCTCCTTAAACTTTGCCTTAAGGGCCTTCCAGCTTTCAGTGTACCTGGAATTGAGAGTTGGCTGACTTGAGCCTGTTATAGTATTGTTGTTTTCCGGACTTCAAAGCAGTTAATAAGTTACCAAATTCCCGGGTAACACAGGATTCAATGCTTCATCCTCCACCCACACCCACAGATAAGTCTCAGCAGTACCTGGTTGCTGCTACTGCATGCCATGGGCTGTTACCACCCTACTTACCAACACTGCATCAGTGTTCTCTCGATCTCCTAACAAATGACCACAAACTTCGTGGCTTAAAACAACACGAATTTATTGTTACAGTTCTATGAGATAGAAGTCTGACATAGGTCTCAGTGGACTGAAATTCAGGTGTTTTCAGGGCTTGGTTCCTTTCTGGAGGCTCTAGGGAGAATCCGTTTCCCGGTCTTGTTCAGCTTCTAGAGGCTGCCTATATATTCTCTGACTCATGGTCCTCTTCCTCCATCTTCAAAGCCAGCATCACAGCATCTCTCTGACCAAACTTCTGTTGTCACTCTCCCTTGACCACAGTCAAGAAAGGTTCTCTGCTTCTAAGGATCCACATGATTAGGTTGGACCTACCCAGGATAATCTCCCCATCTCAAGGTTCTTAGTCACATCTGCTTTTGACATGTAAGGCAACATTCAGATTCCAGGAATAGGAAATCTTTGGTAGGTGTGAAAGGATATCATTCTGCCTATTACAAACAGCAATGAGGTTTCTGTCATTTGGTGAATGAACCAGCTCCAATCTCTCATCCTGAAGGTCTGCTTTCCAGGGTCATTCTGGCTATCAACCGTCTTAGCCTGGATTCCCCCAAAAAGAGCCTGAGACAAAAGCTTATATGCAAGTCATTTATTTGGGAAGTGATCCCAGGTTGCAGAAGATGCACAGAAGTGAAACAAAAGAGGAAAGCAAATAGAAAGATGCTATTACCAAACTGGCCATAGCCAACTTATGGTTGATTCTTCAGAGGATCTTCAGAGGAAAACTTATGAAATGCATCTCAGAATTGTCTGCCTGAGGGAGAAAGGAAAGCATTTTCCACCAGCAACTTTGCACCACTGGTCAAGGGTGGCCCGATGCCTTGCACTTTAAATTGTGAGTACCAAGTGAGTTCTGCAGGCACCCACATCAGTGAGGTTGAAGTGACAGGTATATAGCAAGAATCCAAAGGGAGGTATGGTCATGTTCTCTGAGAAACTGGTCAAAGATTTCATGGAATGAGTTGCCAGCAGCAGCTGGAGCACAAGTCAGACATGATATGATAAAATATGAACTGATCAGTATTTAAATATATATAATATATATAAAATTAGTAATTAAATCATATATATATATAAAATCTGATATAATTACTAATTCATAGAATCCTAAGCATTGACAGGGCTTTTAAGAGCTTCTCTAATCCAATATTACTGTCAATGCCAAGAATTTTCTCTATAAAACCCCTATCATGAGCAATATGGGACTTCCAGGCTGGAGACTCTAGCTGGTAGTAGGCAGTTCTGTATTTGTCTTTCTAAATTTGGTTTTCTTTAATTGCCAACCCTTAGTCTTACTTTTTCTTAGGGAAACAGTAACTCACTTTCACAAATATTTATAGCAAAGTTTATATATAGCAAAACTTACCACCTAATTTGGAAGTTAATTTCTCTGAGATGTATGAATAATAAATTATCAGTAGAAATTTCTCCACACTAGACAAATAGCTCCTTGAAGGCAAGACCATGTATCTTGCCATCTTTTTAATTCTGGCTTTAGTAGACTGTCTTGCTTATATCAGGTTTCAAATGTTTATGGAATGATGAAGGAATGGAGTGAATGAACTGAAATGAAAGGAATGCCCATCTTGCCTACATTGTTAGTTTAAGAGGAAAAAAAGAACACTCAAATATCTGAACTATTTCTCTAAAACTTTATTTCAAATTTATTCATCTCACTGTTAATAAAGTGTGTGGTTAATGCCCGGTGCCAGTGTTACCAAGCCTGCCCATTGCCGGCAATGGACTTTGAGAAAACCCATTTCCTGACACCCAAAGATTAAATTACTCTTTTAAAAACATACCGATCTCCCAATACTTGCAAAAGTATTACATGCACCATTTGCCCACCATTCTTTAAATCTGAACTTACATTATTCATCTACATCAGTGGATGTTAAAATGAAGTCATTTTAACAAATTATGACTGTACAAATCAAAATACTACTAGTTAATATTAGACAAGAGTATCTTACAAACACTACATTACATATTACTTTGCAATCTGAAACGTTACATTTCATATTTGGGTATGTTTATTTTAGATAACTGAAACTTCAAAGAATTTAACAGCAAATAAAGTTTAAAAAATTTAGTTCTGTACATTAGTTCCAACTATCTCTATTTTACAATCTATAAGGCTCATGTCATAGTTCAGCACCAAAAAGATCTACAAAACTGTCTAACCAATTTTCTTTTTCATCTCATGTGATAGCTTTCATTTGTTATTTTTTGTTTTAAGGTGAAAATCTGAGAAAATGCTTAATAAATTCTACTTTCAGAACTTAAAGTAGAATATACATTTTGGCTAGTCAGACTATGTAAAAACTCGAGTTGTACCTTCTTATTTTCGTTGAATAAATACAAAAAAAAGAAAAAGGAAAGAAGTCTTTTACACTATGAATTTAGGTTGTCAGTCTGAAAATTTGTAATACTGAAGCATCATAATAATGCCCTGTCCCTATTCTCCCTTTCCATTCTAAATTTTTAAAAGGCAGCCAGAAAAATGTTTCATTTATCCTTTAAAATAAGGTGCAAAGGATTGCAACAAACTTCCTCATACACGCCTCCAATAATATCTCAACATTGTTCAGCATTGAATACCGTGACGAATTCAGGAGCACACCTAGAGCTATAACCATAGCTCCCAAATGGACCGTGTTTTCTATACCAAAAGCCTACTTAATGGTAGTATCTCTCTGTTCAGAGGTCATTACAGTAACTTTTGTCACTGCTGGCCTGGACTTAAAGCAACATTCCAGATTCCAGAACAGTGTTATTGTCCCATCTCTTTTCTTCCTCTTCAGGATTTATAAATTTTAGAAAAAGGCATGTCTTGCCATTTTCAAACGAGGTTTGTACATATCACATTTTGAGACCACATTCCCCAAGCGAGACACGTTTTTCAAAAGCCACAGGTACTTTCAATAATCTTGTTGTTCAAAGTACAAAATTCTTACATGTTTAAAAAAATGTTTAATTGGAGACCAGTACCTATGCTTTCTTCTGACAGAAGCACACAATTCATTATACCATGTTTAAAAACTAAACTTCATGCATACAAATGACCAGAGAGGTACAAAGTTTTACAGAGCCCTTAACATCATTCAAGTACATCTGGCTTTGGCCAGACCACAACAGGAAGCATCTCACAAATTGAGCAAAGACTTTCCCAAGAACGTGATAGTTTTCCAGGCTCCATGTCAGTCACATAAAAATTGAAGCAACATATAACCCTTTAAAATTGTCCCCAGACATCCCGTTCCTCCAACGTTCCCGTATTCCCACCCCCTCCCCACCTCCACACTGAAGTCTTACACCTCACAGAAAATCTTAATGTTCCCCATTGCTAATGACAGCTGCTTCAGGTTCTGCTGCCGTGGCAGGGAGTCTTGGCACTTTCTTAGCAGGGCTTGGGATATGCTAAAATGAAAGCAAAAAGTTGTTGACTAAGATTTTTTTTCCCTCCAAGAATCATGGTATTCGTTAAAGTTCAAGTAGAGAAACTAATAAAAGAAAACTTCAGCGAGGTCTATGCTAAATATATATTCTATATAACTTTTCATGAGGGGAACTAAATATGCACTTTTTGCCTTATGGAGAATTTATCATATAATTATCCATATAGCAAGAGAGAGGAAGGCTGCCACAGAGATCCACCATACACAATATTTTACTTGTTACATTCTTATATTTGCAACTCAAAACACTGGTGGCTTGATTTGCTGCCTAATTTGTTCAACAGCCAAAAGCAAAATTCCATATTTACCAAAGCTGAGATAAGCAAATAAAATAAATAACTTCAGGTTATAAAGTATTCAGTTTGAAATCTGGCTTCACCATTTACTAGCTAAGATCCTGGGCAAGTAATTTACCTTCTTAGAGCCTGATTTCTAAAATGGGGATAGTATCATTTATAAACTGCAAGGAAGTTGTCCTAAGAATTAAATAAGAAAATGTAAGTAAAGTACCTAGCATGTAATAGGAATTCAAATCATAGCTGTGATTGTTACTTCTTGACAATCTAGATTCAGTTTTGACCATGGTCTGGGAAGAGATGTAAGGAGCTCAACACCCTGCCTCTACTCCATCTCTCAACAAGACACACACCACAGACAATTTATCTCTCTAGATCAGTCTCCCTTTAAACTCTGGTATTATTAATAAACCCAGTATTTACTGTGCACTTTTTACATGCTAATAATTCAAGTGCAGAGCACTTTATAAAGCTGGACAGGGCATAGCTGGAATCTAATCCTGGGTCTCTTGCTCTGAACTATTCTGATTTACTCACATTCCATCCAACTGAGAAATTTCAGCTAGGTCTCCTAAACTCTAAGACTTGGGGATGGAAACCTTTTACCCTGTCAAAGAATACACAACTAACACAATGAGCTTTACTTACCTCGGTCGCTGTGTTTGAATGCACAAGTCCTATTTCTTCATCTAAAGTGTCATCATTTGGAGAGGGGCGCCGAGCGTAAGTTCGTCTGTGCTTTTCATCCACTCTAACTAGGTACCATGTTCCTTCAAAGATTGAATCTATTGAACCCTGGGGAATATAGTTGACTAAAGAAAAGGCAGAGAAAATCTAAAATTAGTTATACTACACAACTCATCTGGTAATAAAACTAAAGAAGTTTCATATATCCCTACAATTTTCACTGATATCAGATTAATACTGAAGAAAGCTTTGACATCCTTATCTCAAATGCAACGTCCTTAATGTTAGTATAGCTTTCTAATAATAAGCTTTTGAATTAATTTAAACACAATTTAATATTTTTACCTAAATGATGGGTGTCCTCTCTTAGCTTCATGGTTTCAGCAAAGACATCTGGTGCCACACAAGTTCTTGAGTCAAGTCTTGATTTAAGATCACATAAACTTGCCGTTATTTTATCAAGTGTAGACCCTAAAATAGTAAATAATTCCAACATTAAAAAACTAAAAAAATATATAGCATGCCCAAAAAAAGCCTAAATAAAATGTTGCCAAAAGAAAAATAACTTTTTTATAGAACTACTGGTTTAGTTAAAAGAGACTATGACATCTATTTGATAAACTTCCTATGACCTCTGACTAGAGATTCAGAGGTCAACCAATATTCAGTATCAACCAAAAGACAAGTTAGAAAATAGGTGGAATTTAAAACTATAAATAACTTGTCTTTAGTCAATCCAAGGTATAAATTTAAGTAATGCCAAGTTTTCATCAGTTTTTCTCTATGTTTTTGCTTCTTCCTGTTCAGGGAAAAATACAGCCAAAACTATAAATCTATAAAAATTAAATAACTTAGTCCTACCCTTTTTTTAGTTAAGGCAGATTTTTAGGGCAGAGAATAAAAACCTGGCTATGCTAAAAGAAGTAATGAAGATTAAAATGTTTTAAAGATCTAGGGAACAGTCTCAAGGACTCACTTGAGAAGCCTGTTAGATCAACCTCACCACAGCAGTTCTCAATATATTCTGTTTTGAAAGCACATACCTGGTGTAGCATCTTGGGTCACTTTAAGAGAGTACAGGGTAGCAGCCAAGCCAGAACCATAAGAGAACACTCCAATCCTCTTCCCTGCTAATTGCTGAGGTGAGTACCTGCGCAGGATAAAAAAATGGTTACATTTAACTGATTCAAATCTACAATATGTGGGAAGCCATATAAGTAAAAGTAAAAATTCAGATTATAGCTTAAAGTTCTTAAGGCTCTAACTTAAAGTTTTAATATTACAGCAAGTAGACTGAAAAATAAGAGTTTTCATCTTTTAGGGAATGATGAGGCTTATCAAAGTTACTATATCACAAAATAAGTTACTTTGTCAAACATGGACTTATGGATCAACTGTAGGTCAATAATAAAAACATGAAAACAAGAACCAGGAAACCTAGCATGAAATTAACAAATGCTCTTGGAAGAGCTGTAGCCTCAACCCATGTATGCTTCAAGTCAATGGACAACAACAGATTAGAAAGTCTAAAGATAAGATATTCTGCAGTCTACTAGCAACATACCTAACATTAGATTTGGTCTTAGAAATCTAATATACCCAAAATGAAGGGAGTTAAGTAGGTGATATTTCTACTTACTGTGCTAAAACAGAAGCAAGGGAACCGTATACTGAAGATGTGTACATATTTCCATTTTGATTTGATACAAGCAAAGACGCCTTTGTTTTCTGATTAAAGAGTTCAGAGCTAGCCTTCATAAATGCTTTTTCCACATCTCTATCAAAATAGGTGTCTTCTAATTTAACATCCCTGAAAGATGTATTTTAAAAAGGACGATTTTACAGCATTCAAATCCTACATTTTTATTACATTAGACAGTAAGCCTAATAAACACTCAAATCTCTAAGTAGGTATGATTCTGTTTTCCTTATTAAAAGCAAGTAGTAGCATGCTAATTGCTATGGAAGACATAACAATTGTATATGTATATATATGGTCCTTTTTCTCAAGGGTTTTTACAATCAAGTTAAAAGTACTTGATTTGAATGGGTTAACAGAACAACTGAAGCTTTGTTGTTATCAAATAGAATACTAACTCAAGCCCATAATAGTGTCTACTTAGGTGGCAAAATCATGATATTACAGAAACCAAGTCTTAAAAGTCAAGTAGAGGCTGGGCGCAGTAGCTCACACTTGTAATCCCAGCACCTTGAGAGACCGAGGCGAGAAGATTGCCTAAGTCCAAGGGTTCAAGACCAGTCTGGGTAACTTGGCATGACCCTGTCTCTACAAAAAAATCAAAAATATTAGCCAGGCATGATGGCGTGCACCTGTAGTTTCAGCTATTTGGAAGGCTGAGGTGAAAGGATCACCTGAGCCCAGAAGGTGGAGGCTGTAGTGGCTGTTGAGTGCATGCACTCCAGCCTGGGAGACACAGTGAGATTCTGATTCAAAAAAAAAAAAAAGTCAAGGAAAATTTTATCAGATGGAGAAAGGACACAAGAAGGGAGAAACAGAATGAGTTTAACATGCTAGAGAGCCTAAAAAGTGAGAAAAAGACAAGTGGAGTATAAAAGCAGATGCCAAGCGTGGCAGTGGGCACAGCAAGAGGGAACAGGATAAAGAGAAGGGCAAGGAAAAGAGCTGTAGTAAATATAGGCATTTGTGTGGTTATTTTAATAGGGTGACGAGAATGAAAGTTAAAGGAGGAAATCAGAAAATCTGAGTAGAAATGACAAAAGAATTTGGGTAGGTAAACTACCACGTTTGTGGGACCCAGTTTTTTCACTGATAAGATACATGACTTAAACTAGATGACTTCTAAGATCTTTTTGATTCTAAATTTTTCAAGTTTGTACAAATAATAATTTAAAAGATATAAAAAGTGCTCTAATATTAGAAGGGACAAAATTATAACAGCTCCTCTTACCCAAAGGCTTCCAGGCCACTATAGATACTATTTTTATCTCTGTTCTGGTCATTAAGAAAGTCATTCAGCAACATCCGAGCTAGAGATTTCTGGACCAGTTTACAATATGGTGAGTGAAAGATCATGAAGCCGAAATCATTCAAGGTAAAATCTTTTTCATTTCCCTCTGAAAAAGAAGTCCGAGGAAACTATGAAATTCATGTATGTTATAAAATTTTCAAGTTTGACTTTCAATCTAAGGCTAGGATATTTTTATATCTTTTATCAGAAACCAAAAATATACTGTAGAGTGAAATCTGTCTATAGTTTAAAGTGTATATTGAAAAAGACATCTAGAGACAGAACAATACTACTACATCACTGATTTTCAAATTTAAGATTCATAACATGTTAGCAGGTTATATCATCAATTTAGTGGATTAGGACCAACTTTTTTAAAAAATAGAATACTTTTAAATGAAGTAGAGTAGAAAAACAGCAAACTGCATGACACACAGCACAGGAAAGTAATTTTATGACACTTTCGTTTCAGTTTAGCACACACATACAATACAAAATGTACTCTTTGCTGTGGATCCCAAAAGTTAAAAAATCACTGTCCTGTTAAAAAAATACTGGCAAGCCAGGCTTGATGGCTCACAGCCTGTAATCCCGCGTTTTGGGAGGCTGAGGTGAGTGGATTGCCTGAACCCACGGGTTCAAGACCCGCCTGGGCAACTTGGCGAGACCTCATCTCTACAATAAATCAAAAATCAGCTGGGCT